AACCATTTGGAGTCTATTTTTGTGTGTGGTGTAAGGAAATGATCCAGTTGCAGGAAATTTTAAATGTAAACTTTCTAGCTACATTACATTACACTTTTGTCTCCTCAAGACCAGAAAAACAATTATATTGAAGTGTAGCAAATTGAGGGCTTGGCGTTTTTGTCTATTTTGCATTACAGAATTCAACTCAGTCCTGAGGAGAAAATGGAAAAATGAAGAACCGGGGATTGTTGCTAATAGCAGGCAGGCACTCTCATTAGCCTTTCCGTCTCTCCCTGAGTCTTTTTCTCATTTTGCCATAAAACCAAATGTCACAGTGGGGACTAGGATTAGGATGAGGTATGTAAAGATACAGTAGGGAGCTGTTTCATTAAATGTCTGTTTAGAGGATTATTATTTCTCTTTGGCTTCGGCCAGGTGGCAATATTCCTTGGTGCTCCTGGGCTCACATGGCCTGTGTCCAGCCACTGTCACACTGGTGACATCTGCAGCCGTGCCGGCCCTTGAGCTACTTAAGCTGAAGGAAAACAGGTCTCTCTGCCCCTTAGGGTGCAGTCGTGGTGGAGCAAATATTTGGTGACCATCTAATTAGCTGAATCACGGAAACTGCGGCGCTATGTATACCTTGATGGGCGAGTTGAAATACGTCTTAGTTGAAGCGGTTTCTAGAATCAGAGTAGATGCCGTGACAACAAGCAGAGTTGGTTTTTGAGTTCAGTCACATGGAAGACATTGACATAAGCCCAGATAATGAGCATAGACTCCATTTTAAAACGGTGGCTGAATTGGTACTCATCCCTCGTGCACCCGTGAACGTCAAGAGTTCTGGAAGAGTGTGTTGTCCATTAACAGAATGATGCTCTTCTCTAGGCCGTTCGCCAGGGGATGCTCGTAATGGGATTACCTGTGGGAGAGCTGACGTGGGGAACCTTTGCAGCCACTTGGCGTTGTTACGTAATTGCCGCACAGACTCTGGTTCCCTGTTAAATAGCCGCAACGTGTTCAATGGTTGCTAGATTTTGCCAGCTCCTTAGATTAAATGTGTAATGAAGACAAAATCAGAAGCTTCCATTGTCCTTTTCTACGGTTTTTAAACAAAATTTAATAAAAGGTCTCCGTGTCCTTCTGCTTTGGAAATAAATGTAATCTTCCCATTGATCAAAAGCTGCACCAGCAAAGACTTTCCGACTGATCTCTTTCCTTCTCATCAGATAGTTTTTCTAAGTGCCCACCTGCTTGTGACTTGTACAAAGAACTATACGACGGAAATTAAACAAACCTGTACCTTCTCCCCACACCCAACATTCGAGATTATGCCAGCGTATTAAAAGAACTCACAGTATGGAGATGAACATACACCTGCAGAGGATATCAAGAGGCAATGATAGAAGAGGGTAATAAATATATTTATGCCTCAGGAGAGCCCTATGTATGGTTTCTGTCACTGTCCTCGCTGACAAATTGAGCAAAATGACTCCTTTTCCTTACTCTGCACCAGTCCAATAAATAGAAATAAGCTCCAGATCCATTCTGAATTGTGAAAAGGGTAAATACCATAAACCACGGAGAAACTCAAGGTTCCTGTGACTTTGTGACTAAGGCGAGTCCCTGTGGTACACTGTATTTCAAATCTTGCCTCGTTTGTGAATATGTGTCATTCTAAATAGGTGTATTTCACTCTTTGGAGGTGGAAGCTTCTCTTTTCCTATTTTCTCTCCTCCCCGAGGTTTTTCTGTGCATTAGATGTTTCCCCAGGGCCGCTGCAAGGGCTGAGTGAATCAGTCGACATGAAGGAAGAGCGAGTTGATAAATACAAAAAGTACAGAACTGGCCTTTTCAGTTGGGTATAGTCCCCAGGAAACCAGCATAAAAAGCACCTTGTATTAATAGCCTTTCTGAGCTCCGTGTGTGATTACCTCCATATGTTATGTCCGCCACACACTTGGCACTGGAGGTCAGCTTTCCTTTTACTGTAGCCTTCTTTGTGGAATCATAGACCCACAATAAGAGCTGGAGGACAAGAAGTTGATTGTGATTTCAGCTTGAAATCTGAAAAGATCTCTGAATCTTTTCAGCAAAGGAACGCTACCAATCCCATCAGCTTGGAAAACATGCTCCTGAATAGGGTTAGTTTTCATGATAGAATAGAGATATAAAAAGGAATGAAGCAAATTCCAGGTGGAGAGTATGTGTTGTGTGTGTGTGTGTGTGTGTGTGTGTGTGTTTTAATTTATAGTATAATCCATTTTCAGCGGGAAAATAAGACAAATTTGTTCCTATATATTAGTGTAAATATAAAATACGTTATAGTTTCCAAACTGGGATATCCTAGATCACAACTTCAGAATGGATCTTAGGATTTATTTCTGTTTATGACACTGATACAGAGGGAGACTCTGTAGTCTCTTAGGGGGAGACTAAGGAGTCATTTTGGGCAATTTGTCAGCTAGGACAGCAAGAAATCATATAACAGGCTGTGCCTGCAGTCAGTATAACAGAATTCCTTATTATGTCAGTTACACTGTTCTTCCAGTGACTGAAAGCCATATTCTAACAAAAGTCACATCTTCCAAGGTTTATTAATCACTTAATTAGGAGGCATGCTGTGTAGAGTTAGAATAGGATTTAAATCTCAGCTCCACATATTCTAGCTCTGAAGATGGTTGAGTTTCTTAACCCCTACTCAGCTACAAAACGGGGTACTACCGTCAAGGGGTTTTATGAAGAGTTTAGTTACAAGATATGCATTTCTCAGATTATTCTAGAGAATCTCTAGCCTGGCCCATCTACGTTGGTTCTCTTTCCTTCCAGTAAGTATTTAGTCAATTTCATTCTCTCTGTACCAAGACAATGGGAAGAAGTTCTCTTTTTCCACCTTTCTATTTAGCATGCAGTGGATCCCAGCTATGCGATAAGGATGGTTTTGCTGTTCGTTGCTTGATGGAGGGTGAAGTAAGGCAAAAGGACCCTGATTCTGAATGGCCACCGTGGCCACCAGATCAACTCCCCTTCCCCTCTCACATCTTTCCATGCCCTCTCTCTGCCTTCTCTTCCCCATTCTTCATTCAACCCTCCAATAGGGAGACAAACGTGTCATGAGCCGGTGCTTCTCAGACTTTGGAAGGCACAGGGAGCACCTGGACACCATTCCCAGAGGCTCTAATTCTGTGGGTGAGGGGGGAGCCCAGGAACCTGCGTGTCATGAATACAGTGGGTGCCAGTGTACGTGGTCTAAGGACCACGCTTGAGGAGACACTGCTAGAAATACTGAGGGATAAAAGATGGTGTCCTTCCAAACAAAGTCCAAGGTCTAGTGGGAGTGGACAGAAACAAGCCATGTGGTGCAGTATGGCGAACACCGGGAAAGGGAATGCGCGTCGGGGAGGGTTGATGGCTGGCCGGAGAAGGGTCCATCGCAGAGGTGACATTGGACTGGCACTCGAAGTGAGGCTAGGAATTGCCAGGCCGAGAAGAGAGAGAGGGTTCCCTGCAGAAGGAACAACACGAGGAACCTGAAGCAGAGAGACCACAGTGTGCTCTGGGAGGAGTACGCTCCCTGGGTCTCATGCCATGAATAAATGGATTGTGAACACATCCCTCTCAAACCGAAATCTTATGTATAAGTCATATATGTATACCACTATTAATCTGTATCCCAGAAATTAGGAAAGTCTGCTTTCTAAAGTAAAGAGTAAGTACATAAAGTTTAAGATTTCATTTGCGCCCCCCCCCCCAACTTGGGAAGCAGGTGGTTGTAGAATCGAATGGGAAAAGGTACAGGCGGACTAAGGCAGGTGCTGAGGAGGAGCAGTGGCAGCGAGCCTGGAGATGCTGGGTGGGGAAGAGCCTCAGGGCCCAAACCAGGAAACTCAGGCGCCCACCCGCCCCTTCTCACACAAGCACCATCAGGAGGCCAGGAGCAGCCTCCCCGAGGCCAGGAGCTCAGCGAGACGTGGGCCAGCATTGCTGGGACTCCTGGTGCCACATCAGTCTCTTCCAGCTTCTGTTGCTCTTCCTTGTGTTCAACAACCGTGATGGCTTCTGCATGGACGCCTCCCCTCCCCACTCAAAGTAGAGAGAAATGCCCTGGTGTTCTGAGTGCTTGACTCTATTTGGGGTATGAAACGAAGAGATACTTTGCCTTGTTTCATTTTGAAATTGGTTTTATTTTATACTGCTTTCTATATTTTCCAGCTTTTTTAATGAGCATGTAAGATGAAATAAAACTGTGAAGAATGTTAACTCAGTGCCTTAAATGGCCCCCTTGTGCTGTAAGACAGTTAAACATCCACAGATACAAGTCTGCCTTCTTTTCCATAGTGGTAGTCTTAGTTTGGGTTTTTTTTTTTTTTAAGGGGGTGGGAGTAAATGATATAATGTTTAAGCTATAGAAACTGAAATACAGGTAAGTTACTTTCTCTGGATAGTGATCTCCATGGAAAGAAACAAAACAAAACTTTTTTTTATTATTTTTCAAAATTAAATTTATTTATATTCAAAATTTAATAAAATAAAGCCTCAAGTTTAGGAAAATACAGGGAGCAACATAATAAAAAAACTAGTATCGGCAGAAATATTACCCAGAAAATATTACCTTTATGGCTGTGTGTTTGTTTTCATCTTCCTCCATCCATAGATCCTGTTCATAGTAGTATAAGCCATCATTAGTGACTTTAGCAAGTTCAGATGTAATTTTTGCCCGAGACATGTGGTTGCCTGTTCGATCTCCTCCAGGATGTTTTCTCATGTAAGGTGGTGTCTTGAGTTACAATCAAAATCTTGTTTAAATCCTGGTCATCAATTTCATAATCTGAATCATTATCAGACCAATCAGTAAATGTGTTTTTTCGTCCTTCTATTTGTTCTATCTCTTCATCAAATAAAAAATCAAGTTCTTCTTGCTCTTGTTCATCTGAAGGATACAGCTGATCTGATGCCTCTTCAGGTAGAGATGATGATTCCTTCAATTTCACTGGAGATGGACGATGTCTCTTTTTAACTTCTACCCAAGGTTCTGAGTCCAAGTCAGGCAAACTTGTAGACAAGCCTCTAGACATTGCTTGAAGATTACTTGTTTCAGTATTTTTCTTTGGATTCAGTGGACTTCCAGTTCTTGGAGAATTTGGGGCAGACTCTGTATGTGAACAAAAGGCTTGGCCTGGTACAAACTCGGGGCAATCAGTCAGTTGAGAGAAGAAGAAGTAATTAGTAAAGACAAGAAATTATATTACTAAGTGAAATCCTATGTAAAATTCTAAATGGAGGTATACAAGGAGGGTAGATTTTTCAGCTGAGCTTGTGGTATTGTGGGACTGGTAGAATTTATAGGATTTTGCAACTCTGATACCATTTTTAAGACTCCAAGAAGAGAAAGAATCCTTGTGGATTTTTTTTTTCAATTAACTATTTGCTTTTTGAGGAACTCCTGGATTTTATAAGTATCGGGAGTCAGTCCTTACGCTAAATCTGCACATGTCTCATTCCAGAAGTGCACCTCAGAGAGTGTGATGAAATATTCATTGACCGTGATTTAAATCACTGTAGGATTCCAATATAAAATACGCAACTAAGTCATATTAACATTAACAGATAATATTACCTCAGATAAAAGAAAGAGAAATAAAACGGGCTTCAGCCTGATTGGCAAATTGAGTGCACTTATTGCATTCGTGGACAGCCAGAGGGCTTTTAATTGCTTTATATTTTGAGTGTGATTCATGCTTAGAGGCACCGCCACTTCCTTTCCCCGATAGTCCCGATTACTAGGCACCTCTTCAAAGGGCTGTGTCCCAACCCCAGTCTACGTGCCATGGACACGTATGTTGGGTTTTGCCGTGTTTACCAGATAACAGTATGGAATTCAGGAGATGTTTAGAAAGATCAATTTGTCACCACTGCTGCATTTGGAAAAGAAGAGTTCCAATTATAAAAAAGAAGGCAGGTGGTTGTAAAATCAAATGGAAAAAGGTACAGAGTAGAAGGCGACAGACCGAGGAATCGCAACAAAACTAAAGAATGAAACATAGCCAACTACTTAATAATGAGCATGGAGTGAAACCGGCCACAGGGGCTGTAGAGAAGGGCAAGAGAGACATGTCTGGGGTAGACTTTAGAGGATGTGATCACATGGGAAGGAAAAGGAGTCACACAAATCACATGATACCAGTGACCAGCATACAGGGTACAGGAGAGGGACAAGATGGGGATGGAGGGAAAAACAACTTTCCCTCTACCCTCCGGGGCTTTGGCTGAGACCCCTGTAATAAGACAGATTAATAAGAGGAAAACGAACAGAAGTTTATTAACGTGTGTACCTCATGTCTACATGGGAGATACCCAGGGAAAAGGGAAGAAGCTCCCGAGGTGGCTCAGAATTCAGAACTACATACCATTTTGACAGGGACAGGGGTGGGGGGATATAGGCCTCTCAGGGGAGAGTAAATGATTCTAGGAAAGATGAGTGGGCCCTTAGAAGAACAGACGGGAGGTATGATCATTTGTGACAAAGTGTGTCTGGGTGTGGTGTCACCTTCTGGGCTCCTGTGACAGGAGTCAGCAGTCTTACCTGGTTGGCAAAAATCGCCAGGAGGGGATTTGTGACAATTGAGTTCCTTGGAGGCTCTGTCTTTAGTCAGATGAGGGAAGTTTAGATACCGCCTCTCCCTGCACTGGCTGTTTTTCAAGTGCCTGGAGTTCACAATAGTCAGTACACCGTACTGCTGTATTTGGGGGGAGGGGGCGTATTCTGCAACCCTTCAGGAAGCAGAGCAGAGAAAGGAGGAACGGGGACTTGGCAGCATGCGAGATCATGGGTGCCGTTTGCAGGCACCTGTTGCAGGTGGTGGAGCCGCCAGTCCCCTGGCCCTAGGAATAGAAAACCACCGCGGCCTCACCGCCTCTGTGCCGGTCAGCCCAGGACAGAAGCTCTGTTGACGACAGCAGTAGTTGAGACACGGGTTTTACCCTGGGCCCGGGAATTCCTGGTAACACTTGGGGAGCTGGCCTGGAAATGGCACCCATGGTAACAGCATAGTACCCCTTAAACGTCCAATAAAGGGAGTTTCCCTGCCATCCACCTGGTGGGCAGTACAAGCTGCCTCCTCCGTCAGCCCTGGCTCCTCACCTCGGCCCACATGGTGGCCCCTGGACACTGAAGCTGGTACTCCTCTGGGCGTTCACAGGCCTTCCCCCTGATGCCATGGGCAGGAGCGCAGCCCACAGCAGGGGCCATGTTTTTACATTACTCTTTATGCTGTTTGGTACAGGCCACAAAGACTGAAACTTCACCCTCGAGGTCATTGGCATCCTGTCTCCCCAGCCATTGCCACGCTCTCTTTCCGTCTGCCGGGCTGGGGCTGGGGGACAGAGCATGCTCGGCACCCATCCCGCTGCGGCCTCGGCCCCTCCGCTCCACCTGCTTTGTTCTGCTTGGCAGCTGAGGAGCTAAGAAGGCTCTGAACTGAAGCACTTCATCCACAAGAGGGTCCTGAAGCCAAATTGTCTGGGATCAGATGGTCCCGGGCAATTTCTCACTGCAGCCTCCCTGAGGCAAACTCACCGAGATGAAATGTGGTCTAGTATTAACTCTTTAACGTCGAATCCAGCTGTCCCGGCAGTTTGATTTCTTGAAATTCCCTTTGAAATTCTGCTTTCATTCCTCAGTACCCACCAGCAGGTTCTGCTCGCCAGCTTATCAACCACTGACAGTCCCGTGGCTGCTCCCTATCCCAGCATCTTTATTTATGAAGGACAGACTCGACGTGGCTCACCCCAGCTTCAAAAGGAAGCGGTTTTGTCACTCAGTGTCTTAGTCTCCGGGTTTAAAGAAGAATCTTTCACAGAGCAGAAAATGATAAATCTCTTCTTGCTAAAGTGCCTTTCTGATTCTTTTTATTATTGTTATTATAAGTCCTCTGTAGAAGAGAATCAAGACAGTGGCAACATTTTTATAAAATGACACTTTATCTCTGTGATTAACTATATAATAAACCGTAAAGGCTTTGCCATGGTAATCTCCTCCTTACACCTTATTGCTTTAATAATAAAAGCTTTTTTATGGCAACAGAATAAAATTTTACTATCCAGACAGTTTAGATAAAATGAGAAGATGTGTTTTTGGAAGGATAGAGGGCATATCTGAAACATGTGAGGTCAGCATAGGTTTTATGTGAGCTCGGTTTATGTAGAACATTTTCAGTGTGTCTTAAGTCTGGTGCCCTCCGGAGGACTTTATCCAACTATTTGAAGAATGTCTAGTGGGGGTCACCTGGGTGGCTCAGTTGGTTGAGCCTCAGACTCTTGATTTTGGCTCAGGTCTGGATCTCGGGGTCCTGAGATAGAGCCCCACGTGTTCAGCAGGAAGTTGGCTTGTCCCTCTCCCTCCCCCTCTGCCCCTCCCCCTCTGGCCCTCTCCCCCTGCTCCTGCGCATGCTTTCTCTCGCTCTCAAATAAGTAAATAAATAACCTTAAATTTAAAAAAAAGAGGAACTTAGAGTGGTCAGTGAAAGAGTAGTTAAAGAGTTCTGTATTTCTGTCAAGTACAGAGGATTACTGTTTCAAAGCAAAAATGTTCAAAACCAAGAATTGCTGATGATCAGTGGGGGAAAACACAAATTTCAATAATTTATTGCCACCCTAGTTTGCATGCAGAATCATCAACTACCTGTTTTGATTCTGAGCCAAACCCTATGTGGTTTGGTGATTACCATTGCACTTTTATTCATAAGCTTATGTCTCAAATGATTAGATTCCATCAGTGGCAGAAATTATATAAATTTTTGCTTAAACACGATTTATATGCAAGCACTACAGTATACCAATTAAGAAGTGTCATTATTGTTATCCCACAGAAAAATGAATACGTTGTCTCCCCTGCACGTCACTATTGAGCAGTTTCTTTTTCTTCTTTTTATGTTTCAAGTTTTTATTTAAATTCTAGTTAGTTGACATATAGTGTAATATTGGTTTCAGGAGAATTTAGTGATTCATCACTTACATATAACACCGAGTGCTCCTCACAAGTGCCCATCACCCACTTAGCCCATCCCCCCGTCCAGCTCCCCTCCAGCAACCCTCAGTTTGTTCTCTATAGTTAAGAGTCTCTTATGGTTTGTTTCCCCTTCTCTTTTTTTTTTTCCTCTTCCTCTATGGTCATCTGTTTTGTTTCTTAAATTCCACATATGAGTGAAATCATATGGTACTTGTCTTTCTCTGCCTAACTTATTTCGGTTAGCATTATACTCTGTAGCTCCATCCATGTTGTTGCAAATGGTAAGATTTCATTCTTTTTGATGGCTGAATAATATTCCATATATATATATATGGAATATATACACACACACCATATCTCTTTATCCATTCATCCCTCAATGGACATTTGGGGTCTTTCCATAATTTGGCTATCGTTACTATTGAGCAGTTTCTTGTTGAGCAACCTGCAATAGTCTCAGACCATTAAGTTGAACAGAGGTTTTTTAAAACTCAGGGTTTCCCTGAAAAAGTGATGATTTAGTGGAGACCTGAAGGAAGACTCACAGTTAATGAAATGAAGAAAGGCAGGGCTGGGGAGGAGGGCTGTCTTCCAGCAGAGAGAAGGGCATGTGCTAAGGCCCTGTGGTGAAGAGAGAGTAGAGCTCATACCTTCTGGAGTTTCATGAAGCTTAAACAAGGTCATTGCAATAAGGTGCCGGTGCTCTACCTAATGTGCCTAGCACACAGTAAGCACTCAGGATGTGTTAGTTATGATCAGCTCTCATTTTGAAGCAACTCAGGGCTGACATCTGTCTGCACAGGTGTCCCTAAAAAGCAAACACGTGACCTTTAAGCTCCTCAGTAGGAATGTGGTCTGCGACACTGCCTGTGATTTCTCCTTGCCTTTTCAATTCTCTGATGTCATTCCTCTCAAGACTTCCTGCCCTCCATATCTGCTAACTCCTCCATCCCAGGGTTTTGCCCAGCACCTTCTGTCCTTGCCAGCCTGCAGAGTTTTTCATGAGGTGCACTCAGTGTATGTATCTGCCGCAGGACCTCTAAGAAGATCCAGTAGGACTTAACGCGCATGGAGCTGACGAACGTGCTCGTGGAGCTGGATATGAGACCAGGCCTTGGAAGGTTTTAGGTGCAGTCTTTCCTCTTTGACCCCTCCTTTGGTCTGGCTCCTCACTGTCTGACCTTTACTACTACCTCCTCTT